ATATATATATATATCAGTTTTGCCTCTTATCAATGTGTTAACAACAAAGGCTTATCATCAAGATGAATGTTGGTGTTGCTGTTTGTCAAATTTAACAGGTCTGACTCTTACTGGGACAGAGCTGTACAACACTTTCATGCACACATTTGTATAGAAATACTTGAACTACATCACTGCCTTTAGTTTGTCGTTACACCAAATAATTGGATGAGAATCAATAAAAAAAATAGCTCATCAGTTGAGAACTTTTAAAAAAATCAATCTTTCTCAGGTTGCCATGTCCTGATTGGCTGAAATTCTACATCAACTTTTATAAAAACGGATACGTAGCTCAATTACTAGAAGTATGGTCAACATTTTCAATTGTTATACTGCTTTTTAAAAAAATCAAGTTATCACATTAGGTCAGACAAGTAAGGCAAAAAAGTACTAGTATTTCATTTTAATTTCTTATGGGCAGAAGAAGGGTTGTTTGGCTGCTATAATAAGAATTTGAAATCTGCTCTGAATAATAATGTTCTGGGGGGAAAAAGACCCAAGAGGCTTCAGTTATAGGACCAAGGGAAACAGTGAGGTTAAATCTACAAGATGATATTTTTGTATAAAGTTTATAAAACAGCTGAAGCTTTATTAACTGATGATTTCTTCTCTGTGTTTAGGTCGGCTGTTAGGGGTGGTCATCGCTGCCTCTGTGCTCGGAGGACTGCTGCTCATCGCCATCATCGTCATGCCAATAGTTGTCGTCAAGTASGTTCCACTCATTCCTCCCTCTGCCTCTGGTCTTTCATCATTCTTTGTCATTCTTTCCCTCCTGCTACACACTGTTTGTGTTTCAAATAGAGAAATTGCATTTCTTGTGAAAATGCTGCGTGAATTTACAAATTTCCTGTGTATTTATAAGTGGAAAATATGGTAACACTTTATAATAACTATACCTTATTTAGCCTTAATTAATCATTAATAAAGGGTTACTTAACCTTGAAAACATCATTAATTAAGGATGATCTAGACTTAATAAGCTATGAATTGATACATTTATTAATGTTTTACCCATAAAGGGTAATTATTTTTAAAACCAACATACTCATTATTTACTCTTGCTAAATAACTTATGAGTTAACTATTATATATACTGTGTATATATATATATA